AGACTGAAGCCACCACTCTATCTGCACAGATCACAGTTCTTCAGGTCTGAAATTTTTTCAGAAGTATACATGTGACATTCATCTACTTTATGAAATTATGTTGTCTAAAGTAATCTTACATGTTGAATAGCCTCTTGTGTTTAGCAACATACCTTTAATACAATGTATTCATCCATCAAAGTCACAGCATCACCAAGGGCTCTCAGCTTTATTTGATGTCTAAACGAAGTGACGATTGGCTCAATTCACCTGATGCCCTTGATCTTGATTGTATATTTAAGAAAAAAGTCATTTTCACCTCAATGGAAACAACCTCTTGCAGAAATGCAGGCTGCGTACGATAGACCCTTGTGGTCCGGCCTTTCCTTGACCCTGCGTATAGCGGAAGCTTAGTGCACCGGGCTGCCCTTTTTTCATTTTCACCTCAAACTACTGGTCAAACAATTGGTCGATCAAATTACTACCCAGAGGAACATTTCGAAACGAAAAGACGGAGTTAGTTGGCTAAGATTAAATAGCCTTACATCGACTAACCCATTTAGTGAAGAGCTCCAAAATTTGCATATACCCTCTGCAATCAAATAAAGAAGTAACTGATAAAGAAGTATGATCAATGATAATGACCTAATTTTCTTTTGTGGAGTAAGTGATTGTATAGAACTTATTGAATAAGTAACTCGAACTGATAGTTTGAACTCTCTTCCAATTGAATTCTTGAATGTGGAAAAGATTGAGACTTTTGTTTCTGGAGAATTGGGCTTTTTTTTTTCCTGATAAGTGAGAAATGGGCTTGTTGTATGACTTGGAAACCAAGATTGGGGTTTTTGTAACCCCAGCTATGACAGAAAAGTTGCCATATATCTGGAGCTTTTGCGTATATTCTTTCAAGTTTCAAGCATCTTTTCTGCTGGTCGACTTTTCTATACAATTTGTACCCAATGTAAATGATATGGCCAACATTTTTAGTTTGCATGTTAGCTCTTCTGTTGTGTTCTACTTTTTAAGAACTGGTATGTGTAAAGAATGCAATTGCTTCTGTTGATTTATTTGGAAATTTGCACTGTTTCATTTGGGTCTAGAATTTACTATTGCTGTATCATCTTAGGTTTGTATTCACTTTAAAGGATATCCAAGTAATTATTTATCAGTTGCTTCTATCATATATTGGCCTCAACTCAAATTCAGATGTTGTAAAAGAAGCTGCGGAACAACTAACAAGCTTTGTTTGTCATGCCATTCAAGTTTTAGGACCCGTTTGGCCATAGATTTTGCCACAATAAATTTGGGTTTTATTTGGCAAACACATGTTTGGCCATAGATTTTGCCTATCCAAAATCCCAAAACCAGCTCAATAGCTGGTTTTGGGCCAAAATATCACTATTACATTTTTTTTAAAATTGCCCCAAACTTTTGTATTTTATAAAAGAGCCCACCATTTATTATTTTGTAACAATGTTGCTTCGTCTTCTTGGTATCATGTAATTCATTATAAAAAAAATAATTTTGTACCAAATTTATTTATGTTCAGGACTATAATTTGCGATAATATAATGAATGTTATTGATAATGGTACTGTTGGGTATTTGTTATAGTTTTTAGAACTTGTGGGTATAATCATGTTTCACGTTTTTCCAAAATAAATTTGGGAAATATGTTTTGAAAACTGATGTCCATACACATTTTCATCTTCAAATCAAACTTCACTCAAATCAGATTTTTCAAAACAAATTTGGGAATCTATGGCCAAACACTAGCTTAGTGTCGCTCCAATCTTTTGCTGTTCAAATATCTACTTATGCCTAGGTCATTACACTTTGAAAGTTTGTAGGGTGCTGGTGCAAACAGTTCCTCTGTCTTTTCATTTTCACCCACTAGTCTGTCCTGCAATCAGGTGTTTCTAAGTGGAAGCACCTCTCGATGGTGCTAAAAAGTGAACGTCTTTTGTCTAGGATAGTCTTCATAAGTTAATTATTCCACAGTATAATCTTGGTCTAGCAGTTTCCAATATCAGAGGAAGAATTCATTGTGGCTGCTAGTACCAACTCTCTGGTGGAACCTAAGTTAATACTCGGCAGTTGTACCATTGCACTTGTTAACAATGCATCAGTATGCTACTCTATTACTCTTACTGTTTTCTTCTTTTGATGTCCGAATGATTTGTATGTATTTTACTTTAACTGCATCATGAGTATCTAGTTTGTACTAGTAAAGCTTCCATTTTGACCTGTTTTTTAATATTATTACTATTAGGGGGAGGGGAAAGGGGAGGGTAATTTTACATAGGTGGGATCCGATCTCTCGCCAAATGGTAAAGGATGAGGGGCTCGCACCATGCGAGCTACTGTCCAACCTCAATTTTTGACCTATTTATTGGCCATAATGGCTTAATGGTGCTTTTCAACCCTTTGCTCTTATTTTCTTTTTTGGGACTAACATATAATAAGATATTTCCACATGATGCATATTTGCTGTGTGCCCACAAAGGCTATTGTCAATATTTGTTTTTATAAATGTGTATTGGCTGGCATTATAAATATATTGCTGGATGTAACATTCTCAAGAGATCAACACATTGTTGCTAAAACCAACAGAGGGTCATTTCCACAAAGTGAAGTATGTAAAACTTTTAAACCGTCTTTTCACGCTATTTTTGTCTGTTGATGCAGAGAGACACTTCTGGAATAGCTGCTGAAAACAAAGAACTCAAATTTCGGTTGCAAGCTTTGGAACAACAAGCACATCTTAGAGATGGTATGCCTTTACTATAATTTAATACTATAAATTTTCAAGCTTACAGTCTGGTCTCAAAGAAAATTGTGCACGGAAGAGCATTAAAGTTAATATAACAAAGAAAAAGGGCAGGAGTGTCTGCTGGGTCTAAGAATAAACAAAATTATGTAAAAATCCTCCAAAAACAGAGCATCTTGAGAAACATTCTGATTATGTTTTCTGCAATCACATTTAATATGGCACTTTAATACATTTGTTTTCTGCAATCACATTTAAAGAAAAACAAGGGTTTCACTGTACCAGCTAATGAGATTGGTAAAACACAATGCTGTTCTTAACAAATGTATACTACTGTCACTTTTGTGCTCTGCTATCCATCTCTTCTTCTTTCTCTTTTTGTCTTATGTGTTTCATTTCCACCTCAGACCGATCATCCCTGATGCTCAGAGTCTCCACCATCCCCCTCCCCCCATACGCCTTCCACCTCTTTACACACCTACACAATCCTTTATACCCATGTCAGAGGAGACATTTTTTTCAAATACCTATTTTTTAATTATATATGGTGGAACTACAGTTGCTCTCTTCCTATATTCAATCTTTGGCTGGGTTTGAATCAATGGCGAAGCTAGAAATTTCCCCAAGGATGTTCAAATTTAAAAGAAGTGAAAAAAATTTCCGACAAAAGGTGTTCAATATGTGTTATATACCTCTAAAACGTAATATTTTACCTATGTACACAGTGTAATTTTTCGACGAAGGGTGGTCATGACCACCCTTATCACCATGTGGCTTCGCCACTGGTTTGAATGTAGGTTTAAATTTTCAGCTCTTTGTATTGAGTCTAGCTCTATCTTCAGAAATTTTTTGTTGAGTTTGGAGTATTACTATATTTAACTCTTTGTTTTAATGTAGTCCTGGAAAAATCATTATTCTTTGCCTAAACAGGTCTTCTAAAAGAACCAGAAAAGTCTAACCAGAAAACAGGATTTGTTTATCTCACACACAGAGAGACAGAAAACAGAACTGAACTGGAAAGTTTAAATAAACTGAAGCAAAATCTTTCTGACTGAGTCAATTATTGTCCAGAGAAATTTTTAAGTTCAATGTCAAATGCATCCTCTGGGATAAAGATTCTGTTTAAGGGGAATGTTTGGCAAAATTATAGTAGTTGAATATGTTATAGCACCACTGGCTTGCAAAGCTTTATGATCTTCCTTTTCTCTTTTGGTGGACTCATCTACTTTAATATTCGTTAGTGCCATTATTTATTTCTCCATTTTCTTGTCTGAGCTTGCTTAGTACATTGATATGATACTAGAACTATAGGACTAAAATGTACGTGAATAACTTTCAGCTCTAAATGAAACTTTGAGGGAAGAAGTGCAGCGGCTTAAGATTGAAGCAGGCCAAATTCCAGCTGCGAATGGAAATAGAGGAACACGTTTTCATTTACCTCCCCAACCACAGCCCTTTGTTCAATGTGGTAACCACCATCCACAACACCAGCAGCAGCACATTCCGCGTTCGACTGCAAGTAACCAAACTGTCCCTGGACAGTCTCAATCTAGCTTCTTCAACTTCAACAACAGGGCTTGAAAGTCTCAAAGGTGAACTGGTCTGGTTAGTAATTTATCAAAGTAGATGACCTTGTAAATATTGATATGTAGAATCTGTGTAGATTGTCAAAAGGTTATTGAATGAGTGTTGTTCAGCTCAATAGCTTGTAACTTACCAAGTATTTAACAATATGAATGACTGATTCATTAATGTGGGATGCCTAATCTCGAGTTTATTTTTATTAAAGAATTACAGAATATGAAACAGTTCATTGATGAGAGATATGAGTCTCTATATAAATTTTCTGTAGATTATAATATGTTTAATAGGTTCATTTTTCAGGATAATAAAATTTATTTTGGACACAAATTAAATTTGAAAGGAATTTTAAAAGAGTCTATTGGTTAGTGCGACACTTATATCACTGTTTCTTCATAAAATACCTTCACAAGAATTTGACAATTCTAAAGGTAAAGTAATTCTTTGTTTATTTTCTTCTTCTGTCTTTCAGAAATAGCCTCTCTACCCTTCCGGGTAGGGATAAGATTTGCGTACACTCTACCCTCCCCACGCCCCACTTGTGGGATTTTACTGGGTTGTTGTTGTAAACATAAAGTAATTGTATTTTTCACTCATTTGTTCATCACTATTTTTATTTTTGTTTCAACATATGGATGATGTTTTTAAACAATAATTAATTTAAGATTATGCACAGTGGAGGGAACTTCATGGCCCGCAGGATTGTGAGCAAAAGCAGTCGAACTTTTACTGTTTTATTGTGTTTGAAAATGTTTAGGAGACGTGCTTATCCATTTCCGATTTCTGATATTAGTATCAAGGCTTTTGATCCTTGGAGATAAAGTAAGGGTATAACTGGAATATTGTGTGGTAAAAACTGGAACCGCCCCGCCGTAATTATCTGATAGTACAGAGGTAACCGCTCTCCTTTTTCTCTCACAAACTGTCTACATAAGGAAAACTAGCCATTTTCTTCAAACTTTTTTGGTCAATCTTCTTCTTCTTAGGAACAAATAGAGATATGGAACACCATGCTAGCACTAGTTCCAATTCATATCAATCTCTTGCTTTTTCAAGTAACTTTCTTCTTGATCATCGTCAACCTCCAATAGAAGAAGAAAAACCATCAACATTACCCATCTTTAACTCTACTACAAATGTCCCTTCAGACCATAATTTGCACACAAGTGTAAGTTACCAACCCCACAATAATAATAATAATCCCAAAAAGAAAAGAAGTAGATTCCTCAAGATTGGTAATTCATTCCCAATTACAAAGTCATCTTCTTCTTCTGGAGTTATTAAGCCTAAATGTACCAAAAAGCCTCCAGACCCAAGTGCACCAAAAATTACTCGGCCTTGTACTGAATGTGGTAAGAAATTTTGGTCATTGAAAGCCCTTTTTGGTCACATGCGTTGTCATCCTGAACGCCAATGGCGCGGCATTAACCCTCCTCCTAATTTCAGGCGACACAGCAATGACTCTTCTACTTCTGCTCCAGAATTTAGCCCTAGACGAAATGAAGTTTCTTCACAATCCCCCAAATCACTTTCCCATATGATTATGACAGACGAGGACCACGACATTGCTTCGTGCTTGTTACTATTAGCCAATGGTGGGTCAAAACCTGATGATAACAACGAGCGTGAGAATGTTGTGAGGGACAGGATTATAGTGGATGCATCAGCAGAGCCTTCAGCTTCTTCTTCAGGAGGAGGTACAGTCAAGTGTTGTCGATTCGAGTGTTCAAGTTGTAAGAAGGTGTTTGGATCACATCAGGCTTTAGGTGGACACAGGGCTAGTCACAAGAATGTTAAAGGTTGTTTTGCATCAGCTTCAGGTTCAGGACTAACACAAGCTCCTCTTATTCTAAACCCTAATGCACATGATCATATTACTACTAATTTGGATCTAAACTTTCCTCCTCCTGTTACATTAATATCAGGTGAAGATCAATATGATTCTTCGTCTTCCTATTCTTCTGCTTATTCAGGCTCCGCATTGGATTTAAGGTTGAGGCTATAAGGACTTCAACCCTATTACATAACTAGTCCTATATAGCTATATAGTAGCAACTGGCATATTGCTATAGTAGAAGCTGCAAATTTGGGGACAAATGAATTTACAGCTGTGATGTACTAATGTTCAATACACATTTGTGGTTACTAATGATATAATAATACTAGCTAGTAACTTCTTATGTGAATAGTAGTAGTAAGTTTAATTCTACTTTTTGATGTTGTTCATTTGGAGTACAACTATTTTGCTGAAAGCTTCAAATTATATGTACGGTCGCATATGGGTTTAACTTTTGTTTACTGAGACGTAAACCTTTTTTATACAACCAGGTTATAATTGCAAGTAACTATTCATAATAAATGGAATTGGTAACCTCGAATTCAACTGAAACTGTTAGATTAACTGGAGAAAGTGGAATCTTCTATAATATTGAATTGATCCTAATTTCAAAAGTTCGGAATTAAAAAAGGAGTGAGCTTGTAGAAGAGAATTAAATTATATAAAAAAAAAAGTATGAGAAGGCGCAGAGCAGAAGCTATGGGACATGAAATGGTCAAATGCTATTGAATGAGTCAACCTCATAGAAACAGTTCGTACGAAAGTCGTTGGTACTTGACTTTCATTTTATCCATTTAGAGGTCAGTTCGCAATCCTACCACATGTCCTCATTAATGACCATCTGTTATTTGTTGCCCAATAAACAACATTAACTATGAATTGAAAATGATAGGCTTAACATATGAGTTAAACACAAGGTGTGTCATTCCATAAAGTAAGTAAAGTAATCGTTTTAGGCCTCATATTTATGGGAGCTTTATTTTTTTAAACCTAATAGATTATGTATAAGTTTAAAAAGAGTTCTGTAAAGTGAAAACGTTTGATTTCTTTCTTTAACAAATACAGAGAAGAAAAATTTGCAACTGCTATAGTTTCTACCAAGGAAATTGCATTTGAAATGAATATTGAACCTGAATTTCGTAAGAAACGTGTAATATATAGGAAGTAACAATTTGATGCGAATGTTGATAATGAAATCTCAAAATCTTTCGAAGAGTCCTGTAGAGTTGATTGTTGGGGGTTTTATGTATTTAAGTATATTAAATACTTAAAAGAGGGTGAATGGGAAATGGAGGGAAATGAAATTTTTGAGCGAAATTTTAAGTTTCCCCCCTTGACAAAGGGACATTGTCCCATATTGGAAGAGGGAGAGGTTTTTTATGGGTATATAAGCAATTGCTCTTCTTCTAGCTCTTAAAGAGTTGAGAAGAAGGCAAGCTTCGCGTTGTCGTCGTCGTCACTCGGCTTCGGCTTCGGTCGAAAGATTGATTGATTAATTTTTTGGACCAAATTTATTTGTTAATAGTAAAATATTAACAGAAATGTTATTAAATATTTGTTTTAATAACAAAATATTAATATTAAAAAAATATTAATATTAAATCCTCTAATCCGTTTTTCAGTGTGTAACTGAAAATTAAACTACCCTCTTCAATCTTCCCTCTTTATTTTCTCTCTTTATTGTTAAGTAAATAGCCATTTATGTTATGACATTTATGCTGTGGCCGTTTTGCATAAACAGCATTCTGAAGAGTTGCACCTCTTCATATTTCAGCCCAACTTTGGCTATAAATACAAGTCTATTCTGCTCAGAATTTCTATACGATTTTATGAGTTTCTCCACCTTCTTCTGCATAGTTTTAATATCAAACAAATCAATAGTAAGTGTGATTTGCTACCGAACTTTGTGTTTGCTGAAACACTGGGGTTTGAAGTACCACTACACTAGTGTGTAATTCGTTCTATCCCGGGAGGAAATAATCCATAACCTTGGGTATTAGGAGGGGATTAAATTCCTTAAGGAAATACTGTGAATTCAGTGGACTCGGATTAAAATTTTGTTTCTGTTTTTTATTTCTGTTTATATTCATTTATATTTTCCAGAATTATTTTATAAATACAGTTTACTAACAAGCTTAAGGAATTTAATATATTTTCTGTAGTTGTACTCACTGTTTCTAGAGAGTAAAACATTTGTGGTTTTGTGCTCTATTGGAGATTAAAATCTACGTGATTTTAACGTTTGTGTTATTCTTTTATAGAAATGACTAATGATAATGTGAACCAAGTTGTTCTAATGGTGATTGTCAATGCCTCAATGATCCGAACAACACCGGCAGCATTGGCACTGGCGGAGAAATCTGAAAAATTTTCCGAGATTGATTTCAAGCACTGGCAGCAAAAGATGTTCTTCTACTTGACTGCTCTAAGTCTTCAGAAGTTCATCAAGGAAGATGTTCCTGTGCTGTCCGATAAAACTCCAGAAACTGAACGCTTTCTCGTGATTGAGGCGTGGAAGCATTCAGATTTTTTGTGCAAGAATTATATTCTAAGGGGGCTGGACGATGCTTTGTATAACGTCTACAGTGGCGTGGAAACGTCAAAAGAACTATGGACTGCACTTGAAAAGAAATACAAAACCGAAGATGCCGGGTTGAAGAAGTTCATTGCTGCAAAGTTTTTGGACTACAAAATGGTAGATAGCAAGTCTGTTATTACCCAAGTCCAGGAATTGCAAGTGATTATTCACGATCTCCTTGCTGAAGATATAAATCAAATTAATACTGATATTGAAAGTAGTAATCTTAGTATTTTTACTAACAGAAATTTCATTGAAGGTCTTGTCATCAATGAAGCATTCCAAGTAGCAGCGATGATTGAGAAGTTGCCTCCTTTGTGGAAAGACTTTAAAAACTACTTGAAACACAAACACAAAGAGATGTCCCTTGAAGATCTCATTGTTCGATTGAGAATTGAAGAGGACAACAAAGCTGCTGAAAAGAGAGGCCGTGGAAACTCAACAATAATGAGAGAAAATATTGTTGAAGAGAACAAAAAGAGGAAGAAGGCTTCTGGACCAAAATACAACCCAAGCAAGAAGCGGTTCAGTGGAAATTGCTACAACTGTGGAAAAGCCAGACACAAATCTATGGAGTGTCATGCTCCGAAGAAAAACAAGAAGAAGGGTCAAGCAAACATGGTTGAAAAGCATGATGATGTTGATGACTTGTGTGCCATGCTTTCCGAATGCAACTTGGTGGGCAATCCTAAAGAGAGGTGGATTGATTCTGGAGCCACTCGCCATGTTTGTGCTGTTAGAGAAGATTTTGCTACTTATGCTCCTGTTGG